GCGTCTGGTGAATGGCTGAAGTGTTGGTTGATGCTGAAGATGTTGTTGATGCAGAAGATGTTAGGTTGATGCTGAAGATGTTGAATATGATGCCTTGAAGATGTCTGGTGATGCTGAAATGTTAGTGATGCTTTGAAGATGTTGGATGGATTAGCTGAAGATGTTTGGTGATGGCTGAAGATGTTAGGTGATGCTGAAGCAGCTTGCTGATGCCTTTTTCGCAGATGTTGGTGTGAATGCTGAAGATGTTGTTGATGCGTGTCCAGATGTGTGATGCTGAGATGTTGGTGATGCTGAAGATGTTGGTGATGCTGAAGATGTTGGGGGGATGCTGAAGATGTTTTGCATGAATGCTGAATGTTGGTGATGCTTGAGATTGTGTGATGCTGAAGAGTGTTGGTGATGCTGAAGATGTTTGGGATGCTTGAAGATGTGGTGATGTTGGTGATGCTGAAGATGTTGGTGATGCTGAAGATGTTGGTGGATGCTGAGATGTTGTGATGCTGAAGATGTTGGTGCCATGCTGAAGATGTTGATGCTGAAGATGTTGGTGATGCTGAAGATGTTGGTGATGCTGAAGATGTTGGTGATGTGTGCGTTATTGCTGAAGAATCCGTCGTCGGGCCTGACAGTCGACCGCCATCTCCCTTTGACTTCTCGGGGAATCCCCTGAAGTCTCGGGCTGAAGGAGAGTTCGGACGGCCGTTTGGCCAAGGGGGGGCGGGCGCTCTGGGCGGGGAGTCGTGGCGGTCTTTTTTTTTTCTTTTTTTCTTTTTTTAAGTGGCGTCTTTTTTTTTTTTTTTTTTTTTTTAGGTGGCGGTCTTTTTTTTTGCTTTTCTTTTTTTTCTTTTTTTTTAGTGGCGTTCTTTTTCTCCTTTTTTTTTTTTTTTTTCTTCTTTTTAGGTGGCGTTCTTTTTCTCCCTTTTTTTTTTTTTTTTTTCTTTCTTTTTTTAGGTGGCGTTCTTTTTTCTCTCTCTTTTTCGTTTTTTTTTTTTTTTTTTTTTTTTTTTTTTTTTTAGGTGGCGGTCTTATTTCTTTTTTCGTTTTTCTTTTTTTTAGGTGGTCTTTTTTTCTTTCTTTTTTTACATGGGGGTCTTTTTTTCTTTTTTTTTCTCTTTTTCTTTTTTCTTTCTTTTTTAGGTGGCGTTCTTTTTTCTCTCTCTTCTTTTTTTTTTTTTTTTTTTTTTTTTTTTTTTTTTTTAGGTGCGGTTCTTTTTTTTTTTCGTTTGCTTTTTTTAGGTGGGGGTCTTTTTTTTTCTTTCTTTTTTTTTACGTGGGGTCTTTTTTTCTTTTTTTTTCTCTTTTTCTTTTTTCTTTCTTTTTTATGGCGTTCTTTTTTTCTCTCTTTTTCGTTTTTTTTTTTTTTTTTTTTTTTTTTGGGTAAGCGGTCTTATTTCTTTTTTTTTTTTTTTTTTTTTTTGGGGGGTCTTTTCTTTTTCTTTCTTATTCTTTTCTACGTGGGGTCTTTTTTCTTTTTTTTCTTCTTTTTCTTTTTTCTTTTCTTTTTTTAGGTGGCGTTCTTTTTTTCTCTCTTTTGTTTTTTTTTTTTTTTTTTTTTTTTTTTTTAGGTGGCCGCTCTTTTTTTTCTCTTTCTCTTTTTCTTTTTTTTTTTAGGTGGGGTCTTTTTTTTTTTTTCTTTTTTCTTTTTTGCTACTGGGGTCTTTTTTCTTTTTTTTTTCTCTTTTTCTTTTTTCTTTTTCTTTTTTTAGGTGGCGTTCTTTTTTTTTCTCTCTTTTTCGTTTTTTTTTTTTTTTTTTTTTTTTTTTTAGTGGCGGTTCTTTTTTTTCTTTTCTTTTTTTTCTTTTTTTTTTTACGGTGGGGTCTTTTTTTTCGTTTTTCTTTTTTTACTACGGGTCTTTTTTTCTTTTTTTTTTCTCTTTTTCTTTTTTCTTTCTTTTTTTTAGGGTGGCGTTCTTTTTTTTTTCTCTCTTTTTTTCGTTTTTTTTTTTTTTTTTTTTTTTTTTTTTTTTTTAGGTGTCGGTCTTTCTTTTTTTTTTTTTTTTTTTTTTTTTTTTTACATGGGGGTCTTTTTTTTTCTTTTTTTCTTTTCTTTTTTTTTTTTTTTTTTTAGGTGGGGTTGGGGAAGTGGTGTGATGCTGAGATGTTGGTGATGCTGAAGACGTATTGCTAAGAATCCGTTCGTCGAGGCTGACAGTCGACCGCCATCTCCTTTGACTTCTCGGGGAATCCCCTGAAGTTCGGGTCTGAAGGAGAGTTCACGACGGCCGTTTGGGCGAGTCGTGCGGGGGGGGGCGCTCTGGGCGGGGGGGTCGTGGCGGTCTTTTTTCTTTTTTTTTCTTTTTTTTAGGGTGGCCGTTTTTATTTCTCTCCTCTCTCTCTCTCTTTTTTTTAGGTGGCGTTTTTTTTCTCTTTTTTTTCTTTTTTTAGGTGGCGTCCTTTTTTTTTCTTCTCCTTTTCGTTTTTTTTTCTTTTCTTTTAGGTGGCGTTCTTTTCTCTTTTTCGTTTTTTTTTTGTTTTTTTTTTAAATTTTTAATAGGTGCGTTCTTTTTTCTCTCTTTTCCGTATTTTATTTATTTATTTTTTCTTTTTTTTTAGGTGGCGTTCTTTTTTTTCTCTCTTTTTCGTTTTTTTTTTTTTTTTTTTTTTTTTGGTGGCGTTTTTTTTTTTTTTTTTTTTTTTTTTAGGTGGCGGTCTTTTTTTACTTTTCTTTTTTTAGGTGGCGTTTTTTTTTTTTTTAATTTTAGGTGGCGGTCTTTTGTTTCCTTTTTCTTTTTTTTAGGTGGCGTTCTTTCTCTCTCTCTCTCTCTCTTTTTTTTTTTTTTTTTTTTTTTTTTAGGTGGCGTTTTTTTTTCTTTCTCTCTCTTTTTTTTTTAGGTGGCGTTTTTTTTCTCTTTTTTTTTTCTTTTTTTAGGTGGCGTCCTTTTTTTTCTCTCTCTCTTTTTCGTTTTTTTTTCTTTTCTTTTAGGTGGCGTTTTTTTTTCTCTTTTTCGTTTTTTTTTTTTTTTTTAGGTGGCGTTCTTTTTTTTCTCTTTTCGTATTTTATTTATTTTTTCTTTTTTTTTAGGAGGCGTTCTTTTTTTTTTTTTTTTTAGGTGCGTTCTTTTTTTTTTTTTTTTTTTTTTTAGGTGGCGGTCTTTTGTTTCCTTTTCTTTTTTTTAGGTGGCGTTCTTTTTTTTCTTTTCTTTTCTTTTTTTTTTTTTTTTTAGTGGCGGTCTTTTTCTTTTCCTTTTTTTCTTTTTTTTTTCTTTTCTTTTTTTTAGGTGGCGGTCGTGGAGGTCTTTTTTTTTTTCTTCTCTCTCTCTCTCTTTCTTTTTTCTTTCTTTTTTTAGTGGGTTGGGAAGTGGGATTTTTTTTCTTTAGATTTTGGGAAAAGCTTTTTTTTTGGTATAGTCTAAACGTATATTTGCTTCATGATTAACGTTATTAGCTATAGTTAATAACGTTAATTTCTCTTTCTCATTTCTATGTCCA